TTTTCAATAAAAAATTATATTAAAAAAAATGATTTCATGAAAATATAATAATGAAAACCATTATTATGTATAATTCTTTTATGTTAATTAAAACTATTATAATAGCTATAATATTTTATTAGTTTCTTAATTTTAAAACACTAAAAATTTAATATACACAATTATGTGATTGATGATGGAGTTTCATGAGGCAAGGGGAAGAAATATAATAGCTAAACAAGTATGGGTAAAAACATGAAAGTGGGAAGTAATTTCTATTGCTTTTCTCATAGAACATATACAATTGAATAAATGACTAATATTGAGAAAACACTCATCCACTTTATTCAACGGTTTTATCTGAATAAAGGATGTTTCTTTTTCCCTGGTAATGCTTCATTAATTTTAGTTGCAATTTTTGTTATTTTAAGTTTTCATTCTATAACTTAGATCTTATTGGCAAATTACCAGAAGGATTTTAACAAACTATCTCATTTCTTTCATGTATGTTAAATGGGAAAGAACCTGAAAAAGAATTTAAAAGGAGTAATCTGGAGAGGTGAAAGAAGTGTGAACAATCCAGATTCCAAATTAGGTAAGTAATTAACGAAGAGGGAATGATGTGCTATGCTTTTATTTGGTGCTGATAATGAAGCAAAGAAGAATAATAGTGATCAAATCATTGCTAAAATGAACAACTGAAGTTGCTCCTCATACTGGGATGCATTGTGCAGCCTTGAAAATCAGGTAGGTAGTTTTACTCCAAATTGATATGCCATTTTTTGTTGATGCTCATCAGAAACCTTCTGTTTCCTAAACATAAAAAAAGGAGGAGTATATTGATGGCTGGGGGCAGAGAGGTGATAGGAAAGAGACTTGGAGGAAGGGAGGGAGGGGAAACAGAAGTAAGGATGTAAAAACAGGAATAAATGAATAAACTAACAAGTAAATGAAATTCAACAACAAAAGAAAACATAATGTGGTTAAGGAAAATAAGAATGTTTACACTACTTCTCAATGTTAAATGTTGTGAGTATTAAAATAAAATGTATAGCCAGGCGGTGGTGGCACACACCTTTAATCCCAGCACTCGGGAGGAAGAGGCAAGCAGATCTCTGTGAGTTCAAGGCCAGCCTGGTCTAGAAGAGCTAGTTCCAGAACAGGAACCAAAAAAGCTACAGAGAAACACTGTCTCGAAAAAAAAAAAAAAACAATAAAATAAAATGTATAAAATCCTATCAAAGTATATCTATGAGACCTGACAGTTTTCAAGGTTATAAAAAGACTTCTCTAAATAATTACAAGTCATGATTGTGGAAGGAAACACTATGTGCAAAGGCCCAGGATAGAAAGAATGTGGTATATCTGAAATATTGATGAAAGACTATTTAGTTGTAATTTTTGGCATAGATTGTTTGCTGTGAGCCATAAAAGTTTTTTATTATATTTATTGTGATCATGAAAAGAAAACCAGCCAAATCTGAAAAGTAATAAGCTATATCTTGGTTGCTGTCAGGCCAAGGACATCTTGGAAATTCTATATGGAGTTAAGCAAAGGGATTGAAATCGAGGATCACAATTGGCCCTTATGCAATAGTATTATATTTTTATCTAATTTAATTTGCTGCTGTAAATTTATAATGTCCATATGAAAGTGAGCATAATTAACTGTTTTCTGTTGCACACTTCAGCTGATTGTTCTATGGCCATGTTTAAGGCATTGGCCATGGTTCCTGTTTGAATAAGAGAGGTCGTAGCTACTGCAAGCAAGATCGCTGCAGTGTTTTCTGTAGTTATTTCAAAGTCTCTTTATTCTAGTGGGACTCATAAGCTCTGTCTTCTAATAACAGATAACTTTGGCAATAGGCATCCATATGAATGCGAGGAATACATACCAAGACTGCATGAGAAGCTTCTTTAGGATTCCAACAGGCATCCAGCATGCAGATGCTTGTACAGTTTACATTTGCTGTACTAGCATTGGTTAGTAAAAGGAAGAAGGGGTTCTTGACATAGATGGGCATCTGTTGAAAGTAAAATTTGTTTTTGGTATTGTTTGGATTGAGTCCTCAAATGATTTATTGCCCTTAATGGTTCCATTATGATAACTGCCTCCTCATAAAAATAGGAGGTGTTTAAATCTATGCAAGCATCATTTCCACAGAGGGACAAATTGCCAAACATGGGCTTATTGACCTGAGCAGGATTTCTATAGGGGTGGGTGGGTAAGGGATCCCTCCATCTTACAAGTGGGAGTGGAGTTCCCCTAGGGAGGGAAGCCCAGTGTTTATAAACAGGGTTAAGGCCCTTCTCATCAGAAGCCAAGAAATTTTGCTTTTGAAGACAGCCTCCACCAAGGCTTGGTGAGGATACTTTTTTTATGTTTTAAGGAGATTTTGTCCATTTATCCTTTTAAGGAGTTCTTTATTCTTTCCATAATAGCCTGACCTTGGGGATTATATGTAATACCTGTTGATTGTTTGATTTTGAAGTTCTGTAAGAAGTCCATAAAGCTTTGAGAGGTATAAACTGAACCATTGTCAGTTTTTATTGCCCAGGGAACTCCCATAACAAACATGGCTTTCTTTGATGCCTTGATAGCTTGTATAGCCTTCTCCTCTGTTTGGGCCAAAGCATAAAGAAAAGGGAATGGGTGTCAATAATTACATGTTATATTTAAGCTTGTCAAATGGGAGCATAATGAGTGACATCTATCTGCCAAAGTGCATTGGTGTAGAAGGAGCAGTGGGCTGAGTTCCTGCCACCCGGCTCCCGGCCGCCTGGCTAGCTTAGCTCCTGAAATAACAACACACAAATTGTATTCTTTTAAACACTGCCTGGCCCATTAGTTTCAGTTTTTATTGGCTAATTCTCACATCTTGCTTTAACCCATATTTAGTAATCTGTGTAGCACCACGAGGTGATGGCTTACTGGGAAAGATTCAGCATGTCTGACCTGGCGGCTGGCTCCATTGCGTCTGACCTCACTTCCTTCTACCAGGCATCCTGTTCTGTTTACGCTGCCTACCAAATTTTCTGTCCTATCAAAGGGCCAAGGCAGTTTCTTTATTAACCAATAAAATAACACATAGAAAAAAGACCCACCTACATCACATTGGAAACCAATCTTCTAGGCTTTATGCCTGCCTTATTCAGAAGTGCCAACAGGGTCAATGGGGTACATGTGGTGCAAGTTCTAGTTAAATGTTTACAACTGGGCAAGGGTAAATCAGGTAAAAACTTCCCCTCTGTGGAAGGGGCACCATTCATAATGGGCCACAGGAGGAGCTTGTGAGGAGGGGCAGCAAAGATGAAAGAGGCCAGAAGACACAGGGTGAGTGGCAACAACTGCATCTCGGTCCCTACACTCAGCTCCAGATTCAAGCTAGTGGAAGTAGTCACTTGAATGTTCAGATCCCAAAAGGGAATGGGGATTCAATCACAGTCAAACTGCCAAAGTCCTTCTGTGAATCAAGAGACCAGTCACTGTCCTAATGGTTCTTTAATAGGTGGGCATGTAACTGGCTCACTTGAGAATAGAGACTAGGAGAGGAAGTCCAACAGTGTACACTCTGAGGAGTGGTTGGCCATTGAAGGAGGACTGCTTGTTCATCCCAGCCACCCAGAACCAAAATAATCACACAGAAACTATGAAATTAAAATCACTGCTTGGCCCATTAGCTCTAACTTCTTATTGGCTAACTTTTATATCTTAATTAACCCATCTGTGTGTCACCATGAGGTTGTGGCCTACAAGAAAAGATTCAGTGTGTCTGTCTCCGGCAGCAGCTTCATGGCCTCTCTCTGACTTTGCCCTTCTTTTTCCCAGCATTCAGTTTAGTGTTCTCCGTCTACCTAAGTTCTGCCCTATCAACAGGCCAAGGCAATTTCTTTATTCATTAACCAATAAAAGCAGCACATATACAGAAGGACCTCCCATATCAGTTGGGACTACCCTTAAAACAAGAGAGCCTTCAGAAAATCCCAGAGAGAGTACCCAGGCAAAAATCATCACCTGTTCTCAGGCTTTGAGGGAGCCCATATAAGGACGATCACAGAAGGGAAGGGGAGAGTAATGTTCTCAGACTAAGTGTGTTGCTTATAGTGAGGGATATCTGCAGTTTGTTGGGCCACAGACATATGCTCAGACAGTGTCTGCAGGTGTAAAGGACCTGTTCAGAGCTACTTTATTGGTTATACCTCCTGGGTGGTCAGCTTTTATGTAGGATTACCATGATGAACAAAGTCACAATGCAGAGTTCCTAATCAGGAAGATAAATGGGAACAAAAGAAAATGTAGGGACAGGAAAAAATAAAAGCCCCAACTAACCAAGAGCTTAGAAACAAAACTAGGGGTCAGCTCACTGAAAACACTCAAAAGGGTTGACTCAAGACACTGGTGGAGAGTTGGGACAGAAACAACAGCTGGGGCAGCAAGCAGAAAAGAAAAGTGCCCAAAATAGAGTAAGAAGGACCGAAAAAGTGAGCAAAAGAAAAGTTTCATCCATATTGGGCACCAGTTGTACTTTTTGCAGACTTGTTGCTGCTGCTGCCTCTTGTAACATCTCTATTTCCCTGGTCAGGGGTGGGGAGGGGAGGCAGGAAGTGAGATGACATGGAGGCAGAGGCATAGACTCTGGGAGATTCCAATACAGAAGCAGGTTGAGGGTTTTATGGTGTTAGGGAAATTGAGCTGCTGCAGAAACATTTCTGGATGGTCCTTTTGAAACTGGTGGTCACTGCTGGCATGTTGTTATTGGCTAGAAGCATGTGTCATTAGTTACCATGCTTCTAGTCTGCTGACAGGTTTTCTTGGCCATTTTTTTCTTATTGTGAGATTGCATACACTTTCTTGTGCTTGCACAATTGTCCTACCTGACCTCTATCTTGTTGATTTTCTCAAAGAACCAGCTCTTTGTTTCATTGAATCTTTGCATTGTTTTCTTTGTTCTACTTTATTGATTTTGGCCCTCAATTTGATTATTTCATATTGTCTACTCCTCATGATGAGTCTGCTTCTTTTTGTTCTAGAGCTTTCAAGTGTGCTGTTAAGTCGCTAGTGTGTGATTCTCCACTTCTTTATGTAGGCACTTAGTACAATGAATGTTCCTCTAAGCACTGGTTTCATAGTGTCCAATAGGTTTGCATAAATGTGCTTTCATTTTTAAAGGATTATAGGAAGTCTTTAATTTCTTTCTTTATTTCTTCCTTGAACTAGGGGTGATTTAATTGATCACTGTTCAATTTCCATGTGTTTGTAGGCTTTTTGCAATTAGAGTTGTTGAATTCTAACATTAAACCATGATGATCCAATAAGATACAGGAGGTTATTCCATTTTTTTTTGTTTCTGTTGAGGTTTGCTTTGTTACTAAGAATGTGGTCAATTTTAGAGAAGGTCCCATGTGGTACTGAGAAGGCATATTCTATTGTGTTTGAGCAAAATTTGCCAATTTTTATTAATTATTTTAAATGGCATTGTTTTATTAACATAAAATCTAAACATTTGAACAGTATACTGTGGCTTATCTTCCAATTATTAAATTTACCATGTATTCCTTTGCTAAAAAACATCAGAGGGTTATTTTACTCATTTA